TACATGCTATAGCAAATCCTATATACAAAATTTCAATGTTCTGAAGCTACTCGTTTTTGAGTTATGCGAAATACATACATACGTACGCACAGATGCCACGAAAATTTCTTTCCAGAATTCATTTTAAATCAGTTCTATAATTTTTTGGGGGCGGGGAAAGAGTCCTTTATTCTGTTCTTACATATGGATGTCATGCAAAAATATCATTAAATTGCAATTGATAGCTGCCAAAATGGATATTTTTGTTGAAATATGATGCCTGAAGTTTTTTGGGATTACAACACCTTCAGATAATTGTACAAACTTGACACTGAGCACTCCCTTGACTTTGTCCATGTACATATCGATAAGCATCATATAAGTGGACGATTCTGCATTCGTGGAAAAATATTTTCCAAATGCCTTTTTACATATTTATGCATATGGTATTTTTCCACAGCTTTGATATATGCAAAAATTTATTGAAAACTTATTGATGTTGAGAAAAATAATTTTATTTCTAATCACAAGTCTTTGTATTTACGTAGAAAGAGCCAAGTTTTATAAAATGCACTTGCACCCTACAGCATGCACATCGTGATGAAATATCGGTTAGAGTAGACTGAAAGGTACCCCTTGTATTATTGCAAAGTTGTTTCATTTATCACCAAGTTGTTGTTTCATTTATGTTGATTGTTGAGTAGTTGAATGTTCTGTACATCCGTAAATATACTCAGTCAGTAAATAAAGTCAAGGGAGTGAACAATGCCAAGTCTGCAATTCTCTGCTGATTTTTTAAGTGAAAATAGGTCAACGTGTACATGGATAAAGTCAAGGGAGTGCACAATGCCTACTTTGTGCAATTCTGTGATGTTTTTTTCCAGTAGCAAATGTATTTGTTATACCAATATTTTATTATAACTCTCTTGTTCTGATCACAATTTGTAATTTTTCACGGTGCATTTATGTAGGTCAATATGCACAAACTCTATCCATGTGCCACCAAAAATCACCAATGGGTACTCGTAAATATACTTTTACCAAAACATCACTGTATAAGTAGTAATACTTTACTGATTATTCCAAAGCATTCAACTAGTTTATTTATACATGTATAATGGAGAGAAAATTTATGTGAAGAGGAAAATAGTACTAATGACAATGGACAACGACTAGTACTTTTTGCTGCTGAACACAACATGATAATTTCAAGCACTATGTTCAGCCACAAGAGAATACACAAGATCATCTAATGGACAAACCTGGATTGGCGTTCATCTAATGGAGAAACCTGGAATCAAACTGATCACGTACTCATTGATTCTAGGCATTCTTCAGATATCCAGGATGTTCGAGGCACCACTTGTGATTCTGACCACTTGCTGGTTATTGCTAAACAAATATAAATTTCGAACACTTGAAAGATACGGGAAGAAAGGCAGAAAAGGTTTGATTGTGAAAAGCTGAAAATTGAGGCAACTGAACGAAATTTCCAGTCCTTACTCAGGGAAGAACTAAGATCTAAAACCATGATTGAACTGGAAACCGTGGAAAATAAATGGAGCTTGCTCAAAGACTTGATCATACGCTTAGCTGACAACACTGGGATATATGTAAAAACTCAAACCAAGGGATTAGTTTGATAATGAATGCTTCCTTGTAACACAGGCAAAAAGAGCTGCTTATAAAAATATGGTTCAAAAGCGACATTCAAGACTTTCTGTTGAGGAATATAAGAGATCTAGAAAACAGAAGATCCACCAGCTTAGGAAAACTCTTTCACAAAGACCTATTTAAGGATGTTAAACATCTGAGAGGGTCCAATGAAAGCCGTGCTTTCTATCGTGAAATTAATCTTGGCCACAAAGGTTTTAAGCCTAGAACTACTGCCTGTGGAGATAAAAAGAACATCATCCTAAATGACAGAAAAGAGGTACTCCGCAGGTGAAATGAGCACTTTAGTAATTCGTTGAATGACCATACACGGGATGGGTCTTCAACCTACCCAAATACCTCTGTAAACACAGATAGTATCCCACTACCATCTTTGGCAGAAGTTAGAGAAGGAATTAAAAAGCTCAAAAATAACAAGGCCCCAGGCCCTGACTTAATTACTTCAGAACTTATTAAAAGTGCTGCAGGTCAAAACATTGAAGAAATACACCACCTCATCGAATCAGTTTGGAACCAAGAAGTTTTTACAAAAGAAGATTGGAAACTGAACACATCCTGTTCCCCTATACATAAAAAAGGAGACATTTTGGAATGTACCAACTACAGGAAAATCGGTCTCCTTTGTGTTTTCTACAAACTATTTTCCAATATACGTTTTAGTAGACTTGTAACTTTTACAGAAAATATCATGGGCGGTTACCAATGTGGTTTCCGCAAAGGAAGATCTGCAGCAGAACAAATCTTTAACATCAGGCAAAGTTTGGAAAAAAACTAATGAAATGTGGCATTGCAATGCACCACCTTTTTGCTGATTTTAAGACCGCCTACGATTCAATAAACCGAAAATATTTAATTGAAGCTATGAGAGAATTTGCAATACCTGAAAAACTTATAAATTTGGTCACCATTACTCTTATTGAGACAAAACTTAAAGTTAAAATCCAGAATAATCTTTCTGAGCCTATTGTTGTTTCAAGTGGTCTCAGACATAATGATGCACTGGCCTGCTTGCTTTTTAACCTTGCCCTCCAAAAAATCATAAAAGACTCCAACATTAATACTCGTGGAATTATCTTTAACAAATATGTTCAGATTTTTGCGTTTGCTGACAATATTGACATAGTTGCACGCAGTCCCGAGTCACTTAGAGAGGCTTTTACATCTCTAGAAGCTGCAGCCACCAAAATGCATCTAGCAATCAACCAAAATATAACTAAATACATTCCATGTGGTAATAACAGCAATCCCTATTTTGAAATTGGGAATTACAAATTTGAAACTGTTAGCAAATTTAAATATTTAGGATCAGAGGTGATTTACTCTGTGATTTAATGTCCGAGATTCGTGGTAGAATCACAGATTCCTAACCGATGTTTTTTCGGTCTAAAAAGTACTTGAAGTCTAACTTCATTAGCAGGAAAACGAAAATTTTAATTTACAAAAGCTTAATCAGACCCATTCTTACATACTCTGCTGAGACCTGGGCGATGAAAGAAAAAGCTAAAAGTATTATTTCTGGATTTGAAAGAAAATTTTTAAGAAGTATTTTTGGTGGCATAAAATGTAACAATATCTGGAGAAGAACTAACTCTGAATATAAATCTATAAATGCTATCTATATCTATAAATGCTTTAAAGAATTAGATATAGTAAAATTTATAAGGATTCAAAGAATTAAATGGGCAGGACACCTGTGCAGAATGGATGAAAATCAAGTAACTAAAAAGATCTCCTCGGCCAGACCATTCGGCACCCGAAAAAGAGGGAGACCTAAACTTAGGTGGCTCGACTGTTTGGAAACAGACTTAAGAATTTTTTAAATAACCAACTGGAATTTTAAAAATATCCATGGCCATGGATAGAAGAGCTTGGAATTCAATTCTGACGAAGGCAAGGGCCCATCCTGGGCTGTCTGGCCATTGAAGAAGATGATAATCCACAGGAACCAGATGTCAAAGCTATACTTAATAATACACAAAAAATAGGGGCATATAAGTATAAACATATAAGTATAACATTTGCATGGAACCGTGAGCAGGAAGAAAGGTATATACAGTACAACGTCCATATTACGGACTCGTTGGGACTTCGGCGATTCCAGATTAGGGTTTTTCCCGGATTATAGATCATCATTTAAATCTAGTAAGATGGCATGCAGAAATTATACTATTAAAAATATGAAACCGTAATTTATGAAATAGAAAGCAATTATGATCTAAAGGGTATCAAATTTTACAAAAAAAAAAAAAAAAGCTTAATATTTATTTGTTTACTTTTTACTTCATTAAACATTTCTTTCAACATGCGCATGCATAAAGCATACACACGGAATGTATGTGCATTCTCTACGTGCATGCGTAAAGTTTGTGGCTTTGAGGTCTGTATTATAGATCATTCCGGATAATGGACGTCTGGATTACGGACTTTGTACTGTATATATATATAAGTACTAACCTTAGCACAATATTTTTTATTTTTTACAGATGAAAAATTACTTATCGGGTGCAAGTTGGTGGTATTGACACCTTTATTTCAGAAAGATTCCCAAACTGTCGATATTATTATAAGCTGGTAAAAATTATCAATGTATTGCAAAAAATCGACTTCAAAATAGAAATTTGAATTATAAAATAAGGATTATGTGACGAATTAAAAAAATTTTCTTTTTCAAATCTTCGTTATTATTTTGCACTATTCTCCTCCCTAAGTATATAGCTATCTGCTTTTGCTAAAAACCATTGCAAAATTGTTCCATTTACAAATTTTCTTGACAAATTTTACCGCAGAATTATTCTATAAGTGCTGGGAAATTCTCCCAGCCATAATTTAAAACAAAGGCAAAAAATATCACGATTTGTTTATAAAAACTGTTGGACTTTAGATTACAACAAAAAAGAATACACAGAAAATGGCAGAAATGTTTGACTGAAGTGATTATAAGCATGTTTGCAGGAAGAATGGTTATGCACATTGTTGCCTGCCTAATGGCATCAAGAACATGGTTCAAAAATCAATGTTTAAACCTACGAAACTGAACACATAAGCTTTCAAAAATCTAAATTCTAAACATTCTCAACATTAAAGGGAGTTATAAAGTGAATGAAATTCCCATTCAAATGAAAATGTTCAAGTTTTCAAACAATTCATGAGATTACCTGAATCAATACAATTGATTGAATGTGACATCAATACAATTTTCTGCTTCAGAACAGTATAATTAGTGCATTACTTTTGATTGTTCGAATATGCTGTTTTAAAACTTTTATTACCAATACTAAGGATAAGAAAAAGCTGCTTTAAATCAAGAGCATTTTAAAATAACTTTTTTTGCAAAGAACAGGTTTTTCTCTTGTGGAAACAATTAAATGATTTATTATGAATTGAGATGAAATGACCAGTTAAATACATCCCATATAGACATTTCTTTATAGCATAGACAAGTCTTCACTACACCCACATGCAAAGGTTCTTATTAATATAACTTTTCAACAAAACACATTAGCCTTTTTATTATCTGTAGAAATGAGTCTCAATTTTTCTATCATTCAAATGATTTATTATACATGTAACTTCTGCAGTATCTCTCTGGTGTGTATATGTTTTTTTTTTAAATCAGGCTTTTGAGTAAATGATTTATTATATACCTCAAAAGATTCCCGTTCTGTGTGAGTAAGTATATGGTTTTGTAACCTAAGTTTGAGGGAATGGCTTCTTACATACATCACACATGAGGCTTCATTCCTGTGTGAATAAGCATATGTTCATTAAAATGCCCTTTTTGAGTAAATGACTTGTTACATACCTCACATACATGAGGTTTCTGTCCAGTGTGAATAAGCATATGTTTGTTTAAATCACCTTTTTGCACAAATAACTTATTACATACCTCACATACATGAGGTTTCTCTCCGGTGTGAAGAAGCATATGGTTGTTTAAATTACCTTTTTGAGCAAATGACCTGTTACATACCTCACACACATGAGGTTTCTCTCCACTGTGAAAACGCATATGCTTATTTAAATTGCCTTTTAGAGTAAATGACTTATTACATAACTCACACACATGAGAATTCTTTCTTGTGTGAATAAGTATATGTTCGTTTAAGTTACCTTTAAGAGTAAATGACTTTTTACATATCTTGCACACATGTGGTTTTTCTCCTGTGTGAATAAGTAAATGACAGTTTAAACTACGTTTGTAAGGAAATGACTTATTACATACATCACACACATAAGGTTTCTCTCCACTGTGAATAAATATGTGGTTCTTTAAACTACGCTTGTGAATAAATGACTTATTACATACACCACACACATGAGGTTTGTCGCCAGTATGAATAAGTATATGTTCGTTTAAATCCCGTTTTTGAGCAAATGATTTGTTACATACCTCACACACATGAGGTTTCTTCCCTGTGTGAAGAAGCATATGTTCATTTAAATGAGATTTTCCAGCAAATGACTTATTACAAATCTCACACGCATGATGCTTCTTTCCTGTGTGAAGAAGCATATGCCTGTTTAAACTAGATTTGAAACCAAATGGCTTCCTACATATCTCACAAACATAAGTTTCTTTCCTGCATGAATAAGCGTATTCATGCTTAAGGTGGTCATTCGTCCAAATGAATTCTTACATACCTTACACATGCATTTTTTTCTCCTGTAGATATACGCAGCTGCTAGTGTAAAGAACCATACTATCTAAATGACTTGCTATATACCTCATACAGAAGGTTTCTTTATAATGTCAAGAAATATCTGATCGTTTAGATAAATTTTTAATCTAAATGACATGTTACACACTGCCCACATGAGTTTCATTCTTTTGTTTGAGTAAGCATATTGAGTTGGAAACTAGACTTATCGGCAAATGATTTATTCACACCTTACATTATGATTATACCTTATTCTGTATTAAGACGGAAATGCAGGTTTCATTCAGGTTCCTGTGTAAATGATGTTTACCTACCCCACGTACGTGAGGTTACATTGTTGGGTGAGAAAACATGAGCTCTTTTAAGGAGTTCCTTTCTCCGCATGACAATTTCCAATACACTTTCTCAAATATACTCGAAAAACTGACAACTTTTGGTCTCTTAGGATATATAATCAAGAATCACAAATTCATGGCACTCTGGGAGATGTTGCAATTTCAGGACTGAACCTGGAATGTTTAAATTAAGCAAAGTAGTTGGTGCAGCCACATATGATATAAAAACGCTAATACATTTTGAACAGAAAACACATCTAGCGCGAAATACACATGGCATGATTTTCAGGAACAAGTCATGAAAAATAAGTTTGTTTGTTTCGGACTAACACTTCTCACCTTATCTCTCATACCGCTTAGCGCAGAATAGGCTGCATCAACAAAGTTCAGTAGGAGGAGCTGCGTGACGTCCATAAATGGGTGGGACTAAGCTTATGACGTCACAATGCAGTCTCGCATTTACACTACGTGTATTTTCTATGTTGTCTTAAAAATAACGATAATAAATTGTTTATTATTGTAAATTCATATAAAATTCTTTACTTTTAATTTACATTTATAACATTTAACCTTAGGCGTTACTGATAATAAGTATAATAAATTGTTTATATTTAAAATTACCAAGATACAGTGAGCGAATTCTACCAATTATTAAAACGATAAACAACGTCGCAGTCTCTAATAGAGCTACTATACCCTTTATAGTAGCCTTAGTCTCTGATACTTGTAGAGCTTCAATATTTTCAAAGATTTTTTATTAAATTATCATTAGTCCAAAGGGATTTGAATCCCGAAGGACTATTAGTTTCGTTTTGGCATTTTGCGTCGGACTCATAAATGTCGGTTCACTTTTCAAACTGTTGCCACAAAATGTTAGAGTCCTGCATTATATTTGAAGAAATTAAATAATGAAAAATCTGCATAAAAGTATGTATATTTCTCGTACTGTGATAAAACAACGGTACATAGAGTCAACGAATTTTGAATAACGTAATCCTCCAACGAATATGAGCATGTGGAAGACCAAATTTGAAATTTGAAATTTATTTTATGATCGATTTCCTATTTTTTAAAACTTTGACGAATTTTTGATTAACAAACTCAAGGATTTCAAAGCGAGCAATGGCAACGTTGTGCAGAAAAAACATTTTTATCTCCAGCGCGTGAGTCTCTGTATCGGAAATTCTAAAGATATGCTCGTTTTAAAACTATTTTGCGATATTGCTGTTGCACTGGATCTTATGGTTTAAGTGCGAGGAACATGATATTTAATAAAGAAAGGTAACACACAAAATGTTAAAAAACGCCCCTCTGGACGTAATTTAAAATCTGAAACATTTCAGATTTTGTTTTATATTTTTATTTTTTTATTAATTTTTTTATTTTATAACGTTGCGCGCCTCCAACTTGCACGCAACCAAGAGGTGACTGTGAAAACTTGTATAAAAGATAGAGCCTAGTGAAGGGTTTAAGTCCCTTTTTATTCAACGTAATAAATTACAATTGCGTCCTCTTGACGCTTACAGACTGTGCCAACTTGGCAGTCAAATAAAAATAATAACCTGAAAAGAAAGTAAAGACAAGATTCTAACTACGAGGCTCTCTAAAATAACTAACTCACCGCATTTTACAATACCGCTGCTAATTCAGCAGACTTGAAGCTCACTGGAACGATTACCACTACTTCCCGCCAAGCACATAGGCCGCAACGCGGGGTTCTTCAATTCTCGCTAACTACCTCCGCGCTCGCTAAGTAAGAATATCACACCGAACTCGTTTCCTTCTATTTAAATCATACTACTTCCGCTGATAATTTGAATCCTTGCGCGTTCTACTAAAATTTACATATTCTGGCATTGGCAGTTCCAGGGGAAAGTAAGGCTTGACAGGAAAGATAGTTTAAACTTAAAATAAATGTTTAGTTAAAATAAATATAAACCCTACATTTGCTTGCCGCTGCCAGAATTTGGAAAACTTGGAAGCAGGTCCTACAAACGACCTGTTGTAAGTTTCTCTAATTCTGAACTAACTGGCGAGAACCTCGTTTACACACAAAAATCTTATATAACCATTTGTATACTAAAATTCTGTTGATCGTTACAAAGCTTTCTTCTTACAGCAACTATTCCTGGACTTCATCAATCAATCTTGGTCTTTCCTTCCAGCATCTGGAAGGAATAAGTATCAGTATCTTTCTACATACATTATAATTTACACTTTCTTGACACAATAAATTTTTTTTTTTAAACGATTCATTTTTCTTAGTTATTGCTTACTTTGCACTCTTTCATTCATTCAATTTTTCAAGCATTAATTTAACTTTACCCTGGCTCTCCACCGTGTGTGGTGTCAAACGGGAATATTCGTGTTTTAGTCTTTCAACACTTCCCCTAACCACCATGATTTGTTAGAATTCAACGACAAAATAGACACACCTTACTCGACATTCTACAACTCAATGAGCTACTTTAATATTCTTAAAAATTCAAATGTAGGTGGAGAACCCTACAAAACACATTCATTCTAACTTCCCCCTCATTCATCTTTAAACATGCAGGCTTTCGCTCTAAAGGATGACTTTATCTACAATTTACTACTTAAATTTTGACTTCATTGCTTTTAAGCATGCACTTTTAGCATCTACAATTTTATGCTTCTGGATTAAATTCTACTTTTACATAACCTTCGAGGATTTACGTACATTTACAAAATTTTAATACATATGCTTTTTACAATTTACCATAAAATGAATAAGAGAAAATAAATTTTTACTTTACTCATTCTTCGCCAAGCTGGCAGCACTGAAACTAAAATTCTTATTAATACAAGAATACGAAGTTATTTTTATCTCCGGCCAAATTTTGGCTTTAACATAACAGATATAGTCTTTCGACCAACAGAAAATGCTTGTTTTTAGCTTTTACACTTAAAGAAAATAATGCTTTTGCCTTAGCTAAATAAAGTAAAAAACAAAACTAAGTCTCAACCGAGACATATTGACTTTCGTCAAAACATAGAACTTCGTACTTTATGCATAACATTTCGGAGACAAAAAGAAAAAAAAATATAGAAGGTTTTAACTTATCTTTGAGTTTTCGATGCTTGGAAACTCCGTCATCCGTTTTTTGGCAAAATTGATCCCAAGTTAGAGAGTTTTCATGGATGCCAATAAATCTCCTTACTACTTACTGCCCTCTTCGAGTGTTCCGTCCACGTTGACTTTTTCTTTTGCGTCCCTCTTGTACATGCTGGCCTCTTGGCGGTTGTAATCGTTCTGGTTGTTGTCCTTTCCGTTTCTCCGTTTGGTTTTCCCCTGGACGGTTGGTCTTGACGTCCTCCGGTCTGGAGTCCTTCTTGAATTCTTCAGTTTCCTCGTATTTTTGTGCCTCCTGTTGGCGTTTTCAGTTTCCGGAACGGCGGCCTTGCTGGCACCTGACTCTGTGGCCGTGTGCGCGTTCTCCTTGATGTGTAATTTCTCCTGCTATCCTTTGTAGGTGGTGGTTTTCTCTTTACCACGGTTTCTTTTTACCCGGTTCATCTGTATTTTTGTTTTTTCTTAAACGCCGGAGTTTGAAAATCATTTTTTCTTTTTGATACCGACGTCCGGGTTGTAGAAGTGCTAGGTCTCTCTTCAGTTTTCTCTGTTTCTTGGGTGGTGGGGGAATAGTTGTTGTAGTCTCTGGCCCTTCTATTTCGTTTAGACTTGAGTCCTGCAAGAAAACTTTAACTTTTAAGGATTTCAAAATCATTTGGATTATAGTATTTTTTTTTCACCTGGTCGGGACTTTGCTTTACAGATTTCCCCTCTCTCGTTCTTAAGATATAAGACTACTCCTTTGATTTCCTAAATTACATAGGGGGCCTTCAAACTTTGGAGCTAGCTTTTGCCCATAAAATTGTCTGGGGCACTTGATAAAGAAAATTTCCCGCTTCAATACTTTATCCCCAACTTTAAAATCTGCTTCACGGCGTTTTTCTATCGTAATATAGTTTTTGCCTATTTCTTGCCGTATCCGAGGTTTTAAGCGCCTGATCAATGAGCTTTTGGCACATCTTTTTTGTTTAAACTCCTGCTCTCTTTGTTGCACAAAAAAATAATTTATCTAAAGGCGTAATTAACTTTCTGCCTAAAAATAATTCTGCTGGAGTTTTTCCCCGTAGTATCATGATGTTGCCGTTCTTAAAGCATAAGCTAATTCATTTATGTAGCCATCCCAGCGCTTGTGATGTGTGCTAACGTAACTGCGAATTTTTTTATTTTTACTATGTTTTTTATTATCCTCTTCTGCTATGTTAGCCTGTGGTCTATACGGAACCATTTTGATACGGCGGTATGCCAAGTCCATTGCATATGTTTTTTCAAATATTTGACTAATGAATTGTTTTCCGTTATCGCTAATGACTTTTATTATAATCGGTGCACCGTATTTTAAAATGTATCTGTGTAAGAATGCATCTGCGACTGTTTTTGGCTGACGCGCGTTTAATAAGTGGAAAAATTTCTATCCATTTTGAAAAATGGTCTACTATTACTAAAAGAAAACGATTTTTATTTAACTCGCTCTGGGGGAAGGGACCAAGGAGATCTATGCCTAAAATTTCATTCGGAAATGTAGCGCGAATGCTATTTAAGTACCTATTAAGTAGCGCGAATGCTATTTAAGTAGTAAGTATTAAGGCCGGGCTGTAATTAATATCATTTATTAACTGACATTGATTGCAGGACCTGACATACGCCGTTACTATTTTGTATCATTGCGGGAAATATACCGCCTCGAGTACCCTTTTTATAGTCTTTCTGACCCCGAGGTGGCCCGCCTGTTTTTCTTTTTCTTTTTGTTCTTCGTGCAACTCCTTCAAAATGCTTAATCGAAGCGAGGCTGGGATGACTGGTTTTATACTCAAGATTTTCGTTTGTTGTTTTCGTATAGAATAATAAATTATCTATTATTTCATAGTTTTTTTTTGCTCTATTTCTTATCGCATCGATATCTGTATGCTCAAAGCTTTCGGGTCTTTCAAATAAGCATAGATATTTTCCAAATTCAGGATCAGCTTTCAGTTCAGTAATAGCCGTATCTCTAGAATCTAAAATTTTTGAAGTCAACACAGCGCATTTAAGTTCATTTCCTTCATCGTCCAGTTTTTATACGAGAAAGTGCGTCAGCTACATTGTTTTCCTTACCTGGTTTATATTTTATTGTGATACTATATTCTTGGAGTTTTAAAATAAAGCCCATCTTATTATTAACCTGGGCGTTAGGTTTTTTTCCCGAGTAAGTCTACCAACAGCCGCATGATCCGAAAAGACTGTTACTGGCGATTTGCCGAAATAAACTCGAAATTTGTGTACAGCCATTAATACGGCTAATGTTTCTCTTTCTGTAGCTGCATAATTCCTTTGTGTCTGATTCAACGTTTTACTAAAAAATGCCAGCGGATGGTTATTTTGCATAAGAACCG